GCTGGAATCCCAAGGAAAGTACGAGGAATCAGAGACGATGCATCGCCGTGTACTGGAGGGACGCGGGAGGCTTCTCGGACCAGACCATCCCAACACCCTAACAAGCCTCAACAACCTGGCTGCTGCGCTGGAATCCCAAGGAAACCACGGGGAATCAGAGACGATGCACCGGCGCGCACTCGAGGGAAGCGAGAAGGTTCTCGGACCAGGCCATCCCGACACCCTAATAAGCCTCAACAACCTGGCTATTGTGCTGGAATACCAAGGAAAGTACGGGGAGTCAGAAAACATGTATCGGCGTGCACTAGAGGGACGACAGAAGGTTCTCGGACCAGACCATCCCGACACCCTAAAAACCCTCTATAACCTGGCTATTGTGCTGAAATACCAAGGAAAGTATGGGGAATCGGAGATGATGCAGCGGAGCGCCCTCGAGGGACGCGAGGACGTTCTCGGGCCGGACCACCCCGACACCCTTGGAAACCTGGAAAACCTGGCTATTGTGCTAGGATCCGAAGGAAAGTACGGTGAACCAGAGGCGATGAGGCGGCGTGCATGGCCGAGGCTGCCAAAAACAACGGACGAGGCATAGCTACAACCTACACACCCTATTCACCCCAGCCCTCCCGCAGCGTCCTCCTCCGGAGGGACAGTGCCCGGCAGCCCGATTCACCCTGCCCCATGTAGTTTTGCTGGACTAGAGGTCACTTAAGTGGGCTACCAGTTCCCACTGATGTGTGAGGCTGTTGGAATCTACCGAGAACAAGGGGGACATAAGTCGAACTAACTAGAATTATGGTGTGAGAGGTAGTGGCGGTGCATTGAATTGTTTGTTACAAGTTATATTCGTCTATGGAAGAAGTGTTGTGCATTTTACCTTTTATCTTCCCTGGTTTCTGTTCTCTCTTAGCAGTGTGTTTGTTTATTTTCATAGCGAATTATCCCTTCTGCCCTATCACGCGTTAAGCTCCTAGCAGCCACTCTTTTACCAGGGGGTATCATAAGAGGTCACTCCTTTGTCATGGCCCTATTGGTTACCCTGCATTGCATCCACCTTGAATGGTTTTTAAAGTATATCGTGACGGAATTCTGCCAACTATTTGTAACATAATTAAGCTTGTTTCCGCAAGAGACGGAATTATGGCGAGAAAGAAATCACGCCCCGGGTGCTCTAGAGGTCGGAGAAAGCCCCAGACCCCAACCATCTCACCATACCTGGCACCCCCAACCAGCTAGCCCCTTGGGCCGCACCCGAATCACCCACGTATTTCTGGGAGTTCTCCTGGCCGGTACTACCGATTTCAGTAGCCTCCCGAGCGACAATATATGATTGCCACACTTGATGGTAATCCAAGGACATATATATGCATCGACATAAATTGAGCAGATCCCTGGTGTATATGTCGACGGTTTTTGCACGTAAGTACCTGCAATGGGTGATAGGTTACCTTCGGCCATGATTTCTTTTTGGGTTAGGGTTGAAAGACCCCTGGGTGTGAGTCCTAGTATGAGTCCTGTGAGGGTGAAAAATGTGTTTGCTTTGTTTTCCTTTTTTTCTCTTAAGTTCTGGGTTTTGTATTGTTGAGTTAGGTTTGTTTGAGCTGTTAGGGTTTGGTTGTAACTTGTAACTGGCCATGGTGGTGTCCTGTGGACCAGAGAGGACCTAAAGGGATTTTTTTCCTTCCTCCCTCTTCAGACAAGGGCGAACCCAATGAAGAGCTGCGGAGAGGAACTTGAGGAAACAACGAACGGAAAAAAGTCAACAACGAACATGAAAGCCTGTACCTACGTTTGGTAATTCTTCTTTGGTTGTTCTTTTGTTTCTTTACATCAATTGATCTGTACGGCCCTGATTTCGGAACTCCTTTTCTTGTGTGAGGTATCGATTACCTGTTTGATTTTGTAAGTGAGTGAAGCTTACCTGATTTGTGTGTTTGGTTTTTCGACCCCGATCCGTCTCTTTCAGTCCGGAGTGGGAGTCGGAGCTCATTTACTCGCCTAAATAGTAGCGCTCAACCGGACCATCCAAGTAAAAAGAGTAAAAGAAAAACATTCCAATGCTGAATTTCTAGGAAGTGTGCTTGTTGAGATGCGCCGCTGGGTAGATGCAAGGAGGAAAACGGCTTTGAGGTTGGGGACGATACTGAGGTCATCTGAGAAAATAGCTTCATGATCATAGAATAATTGTTAACGTGCGGGTAATTAGAGTTTATATACCCCCTCGGTTAGGAGTATGTCAGGTGATACAGTATGAGCTGGCATAGCGTCAGCACTACTCTCAACTCTTGGAACTTGACGGAAAAGCTATTTGATTCCCTTGGTGTGTGTTAAGTTCGCTTCAGGTATTTCATTGAGTGGGGAGGATGTTGGAAATATTAGTGGAGCGCGGTTGGTGCCTGGCGATACACATGCTGGCTATTCCGGACATCTTAAAGTCTACCGTCGCATGTAGGCACTCAC